CTGGGGCCGAGGCCCGGCTCCCCGCTCGGGTAGGACCAGCCCCGGGGTGGGGGAGCCTCCGACTCCGGGGGCCTCCTCCCAGCCGCCCTGCCCTGCCCTGCCCGGACAGGACCAGCCCCCGGGCTGCGAGCCTCCTCCCAGCCTCGCCCCTCTAGCAGTGCCAGCCCCTGCCCGGCTCCGGGGCCCTCGTCCCCGCTGCCCCGCTCGGGTAGGGCCAGCCCCGGGGCTGGGGGCCTCCTCCGGCCTCCCCACTCGGGGCATAGCAGCCCCCCAGCACCGACCGGGGTCTCGTCCCAGCCTCTGCCCAGCTCCAGGAGCCTCGTCCTCCCCTCCCTGCCCAAGTAGTATCAGCCCCGGCCAGCTCTCGGGGCCTCCTCCCAGCCTCCTTGCTGGAATAGCCTCAGCCCCCAAGTGTGGGGCTGTCCCTGCTCAAGTTGTGTCAGCCCCCGGGGCTGGGGCCTCCGTGCAGCAGCCTCGGCCCAGGGCCCCGATCCCAGCTCTCTTTCGCTTTGCCGACAGGCCTCGGAGTGGGAGGCCGAGCTGCAAGCGCCCGGCATGCCCGAGGTGAGCTTCGTGAAGGATGCCCAGCTGCAGACGGCCGCCATCTCCCTGTGGACCGTGGTGGCGGCGGTGCAGGCGGTGGAGCGCAAGGTGGAGGCGCACGCCGCGCGGCTGCTGAGCCTGGAGCGGCGCTCGGGCGTGACGGAGAAGAGGGTGGTGGATTGCGAGAAGACCATGGTGGAGTTCGGCAACCAGCTGGAGGGCAAGTGGGCCGTGCTGGGCACCCTCATCCAGGAGTACGGGCAGCTGCAGAGGAGGCTGGAGAGCATGGAGAGCCTGCTGCGGAGCAGGAACTTCTGGGTCGTGAGAGTCCCCCCGGCCGGCAAGGGAGAAGACCCAAAGGTGCCAGTATCTCGGCTCTGACCCGAGTGTGAATGTGGCGGGCCCTGAATCGGAGGGGGTCGAGGTCCCACTGTGTCACCGTTGTTTCACAGCTGGTCTGGAGTGAATTGATTGCCAGCCGTGCTGGCTCAGGTGTGGGCGCTCTGCACTTACCCACCTCTGGGCAGAAGCTCTGGGAGCAGACGAGTTGTTGCTGTCTAGCCACCGGCGCTCGTAAGCAGAGGCCTTAAACCGCAGGTGCATAAAAGTCCTCTTGGACTCTTAAGGCCAAACCCCACACGCTGCTGCTATCTCAAATCAAGGATTTTGCTCTAACGCGCCTTGCTTTGAAATCCCCTTCGCAGCTTCTGCAAAATAAGGTTTTTGCACGGAGAAATGATTCATTCAGTCTCCAAACTCAGGTGACCAGTATCCTGTACCTGGTCTGGAAATCCCTCCTTGAAGGAGGACCACGTAGTACATTTTCCAGACCAGTTTTATCCTTGTTCTCCTCACAGATTCGTGGTGAGAGGCTCAGGATGATAGTTGTTACTCTGGCGTGGAGGCAGGGGCCTGAGACCTGCCCTCTCGCTTAATAGGAGCCGACAGGCAGTCATCCAGAGCTCAGTTCTGCAAGTTCGGGCCCGTTCGTTGTTGTCAGATGGGGGGGGAAAAGGTAGCGGGTGTCAGGAAGCAGTCGCAGCAGGAGTGTGTGACGCTTCTGGTTTCAGGTCCCGGTGGCGTTTGATGAAGCCTCGGTCCAGTTTCCCCGGGAGAAGTGGGAGAACTTAGAAGACTGGCAGAAAGAGCTGTACAAGAACGCGCTGAAGGGCAGCTATGAGCCCTCGATCTCAGTAGGTAAAGAACAGCTTTCACTTCTTAGACCGGGCTTTGTAGTCACCAGTCCTGGCATTTCCTCTGGCTCGTGGGTGTTATCAACCCCCTCTGCTTTCTCTCCCAAAGGCTCGGCTAGAGCAGCTCTACCGCAGAATACAAGTGGGTGCTCCCGAGCCCTCCGTCCTGCGGTTCCTAGCAGTGAGATGATTGTATCGATGTAAGCTCAGGCCACATCCAAACATCTCGCTGTCCCATGGAGCGACGGGGTTGCAGCACCTTCTGTGTTAAAAGCTGTCTCAAGGCTTCTGTTTGTGTTTATAGTAGAAGCCCATGTGTATTTGTAAATATATATATATATACACGTGTGTGTAAATATATACATATACACACACACACACATATAAATGCACGTGTAAATATACATATTTACACACGCATATATATGGATATATATGCACATGTATACATGCATGTGCATGTAAATACACACACACATGTATGTGTGGACGTGCGTGTGTTGCCCCCAGCTGACATTCTCGCAAGTGCGTTGGAGAAATGTGGCTTTGAGAGAATTGCTGTTTGGCGTCTGTGTAACTGGCTGAACGCACGCCACCAGAGAGTCACTATAAATGGACAGTGTCACAATGTCAGGAGATCTCCAGCAGCTTCCAAAGGCACCTGGTGCCATTTAACAGGTTTATTAATGACTCGGATGCAGAAATAGAAAGCCTCCAATGACGCAGAACCAGGACAGGGTTGCAGACGTTTTGGAGGAGAGGATCAGGGTTCAAAAGGATCTTGATATCTTAGAGAACTGTATTGCAGACAGCAGAGTGAACGCTAGCCAAGATAAGTGTAAAGTGCCATATTTGGGAAGAAAAACCAAATGCACACGTGCAGAAGGGGGAACAGCTGGCTTGGCAGTCGCACTGCTGAGAAGGATCTGTGGGTTATGGTGGACTGGAGACTCAGTCTCAGTCCGAAATGTGATGTTCTTCCAAAAAGGAAAGTGGAGCTGTGGGCTGCGTTAACAGAAGTAAAGCTTGTAAGACACGGGAGGTGATAGTGCCAGCCTAGTCAGCACCGGCTAGGCCTCAGCTGGAGCAGTGTGTGCAGTTCTGGGCTCTGCTGTTCAAGAAGGATGTGGAGGAACTGGAGAGGCGACTGACAAAGATGATGAAGGGGTTGGAATGCAGCCGTACAGGGAAAGGTGGAGGGAGCCGGGCATGTTTAGTCTGGAGAAAAGGAGTTTGAGGGAGACGTGACAGCACTTTTCAAATACTTGAAAGGCTGCCATAAAGAAAAGGGAAGACAACTGCTCTGCCTCACTGCAGAGGGCAGGGCACAAAGCACTGGATCTAAATGGCAGCAAAGCAGATTTAGATTAAATCACAGGGAAATGCTTCCCAACTGTAGGAGCTGTAAGACAGTGGCTTGAGCTGCCTGGGGAAGCCGTGGAGTCTTCCTCCATGGAGGCTTTCGAGCAGAGGTGGGGCAGGTGTCTGCCTGGGGTGCTCAGGGACTGCACAGCCTACTGGTGTGTGCGGGGTTGGACTAGGTGACCCTTCCAGCCTTGCAAGCTCTGCATCAAGAATATGCTAAGGTTAGCAATGTCCAGTGCACCTGACTGATCTAAAAGAGTCGACACAGACACTGACGGGCTCATCAGAGAAGCAGAGTCCCTCAAGGTCCCTTCAAGCCCCGCTAGTCTATGACTGTGCAGAAGGTTCTCCCAGAACCTCGGACCCACTGATCTCGGGGGGAGAGAGAGATAGACGGTGGCACTGTTGAGGAAAGCAAACGTGAGAGTGTCGGCATGTCTGGAGAAAGCAATTGTTAGGTCATTCCTCCAGAAACTTTCCAGGGACAGAGACCCTCTTTCCCATTATTGCTTGAATTTCCCTTTATATGGTAAAGAGTACAGTAAGGTCATGGTGGCAGAGCCAAGGAAGCCTGAGCACGGCAGGTTTCAGGACTGGTTCTTTGATGAGCCTTTCCGTGTCTGTGTTGATTCATTAAGATCAGTCGGGCACCTTGAACGTTGCTAACCTTGGGGTATTCTTGACATACTCACAGAGTTTGCTTCATGGGTAGACAGGACAGCTCATACCTAGTGCTGCTTTTTTTCCATCAAGGTGCCACTCTGGAGTGGAGAAGTGCCCTACACATTTAAGTAGAGACTTGTCACTTCTTTGAGACACATGGGCTTACTTTTTCTCCAGCAAGGCTCTGAGTTAGGTGTGGTATCAGCAGCAGGGTTAGTCAGGATTTTCTCAACAAAACCAAAATGCTTCATGGAAGCATCAGTTTCAATAACAACCAGTAGCATCCTTATGGAAACCAGGCTGCATTTCTTCCAGCCGGCTGGCAACTCTGGGGTTTGCAGCATCCCGAGATCGCCAACTCTGGGCTGTGCAACAAGGAACCTGAAGGTCCTGAGAGCCCTGACGCAAGCCCAGAGCTCACAGGGTCTGAGAGCCCAGAAGACTTGTGAGCCATGGCTGGGATTTTGGGCCCCCAAGCACTATTTCATGTAGACATTTTGCAAACAGAGACATCCAGTGATTTGTGATTGAATTAGGAAATCCCACGTGCTGCAAATCCTGCCCTTTCTACTTTTTATCTCCACACAACAGAGCTGCTTTAGTTGCGGGGGGGGCGTTAATTCCCAAATTTCCTGAGGAACAGAAATCCCAAGTTTTAATGAGCCCACAGCAGCAGAGGGCATGCTTGGGTGTGACAGGGAGGACAGCTCAACCGTCTGCCATGTTGGGGTTAGGTGAAGAGAGCCCCCCACCTCCTGCCAGGTGCCCCATCCTCATTTGCATCTGTGCCAATGACCTGTCACTTGCCAAGGTTTTTAATTTGAAACGGGCACTGTAAGTCACGGTACTTAGTTACTTCAGCTTCAATGCCTTTCTCCCCCAACAGACCACACAATCTCCAAGCCTGACATTTTATCACGGGTTGAACCAGGGGAAGAGCCCCACATCAGGGAGCAGCAGGACTTGGAGGTGAGAGAAGTCCCCACAGGACCTAGTGCAGGTGAGTAACAAGTGCAGAGAGCGCAAGGTGCGGCGTTATGAGCGGGGAAGACGGACAGACTTTGGGAAATGAGACACGAGCCTGGCGTGTGCTAACTGATGGTGGCGTTACCCTCCTTGCAGGTGTTGCTCATCATGACTTCCTACCTGTCCCACCGGATGCCAGCTGTACACAGCCCAGCACAGGTAATGTATACAATCTGTTAAACAATAAGTGCAGCCTGTGTTTGGAAACCTTCTTGCCTAGGTCCAGCTGGCATGTCTATGAGCAGTTTTATGATCAAGATCATACACCAGTCTTCCTTCCTCCTGACTCTTAGTAGTAGTGAGTCCTTCCCCTCATTTTTTTCATTTCCTCTGGATCCCTGTTAACATACCTGCATCCGATTAGAATATGCATGTCCTCAAGCAAAGAAATAGTCACACCCCACTGTTGTGTAAGGTGCTTCACTTACACCAGTGTAGCTGGGCCAGGTTGCTGCAGCCAGGTATGTGATCTGGTTCCATATCTCCTCTCAGATACTCGGTAACACGTTCAGGGGACTGTGGATAAGCTGATGCTGCCCTCTTTCCTCTCAACAGAATCTTCTGTTTCTACCACGGAGATTATCTCGTGGATTAAACGAGAGGAGGAGCTAAGTGTCCGGGCTCAAGGGCGTTCAAAGGAACCAGACGTTCACAAAAGCACTTCCACCAGTGAGTACAGGAGAGCGATAGTGCAGGACTAGAGAGTGAACTGCCTGAGGGTTACTTTCCTGAGACAGGGGGTCTCTGCTTTCCAGGAGGCCTGGGCAGAGCAACACCTGCCAGTTCTCCGTATGTTTGGGGGTTGAAGTGTAATCCCGGAGGGAGAGCGCTCACCACTAAAAGCCGGAGGCTGGACTTCAACAGCAAGATAGTGGGGTCTGAGCAGTCGCAGGACTTGCTTATTGGGAGAAGAAAGAGAGCCCCTTTGAAGAGTGTTTGAGGGCCAGCCTGGGACAGGGGGAGAACACCAAACCATATACCAGTATTTTTTTTCTGGAAAAAGAGTGCCCATCTCTTGTGACAGATTTGCCTAGAAGTGGAGTTGGTCTTTGGCTCCTTTGTTAGCTTGGAAAGCCCAGGAGGCACAGGATGGTGTGGAGAAGCAGCAGCTCTGCAGAAAAGGACCCAGGGGTTACAGAGGACAGTAAGGTGGAGCTGAGCCAGCAGCGTGCCCTTGTTGCCAAGAAAGCTAACAGCATCCTGGGCTGCCTTGGTAGGAGCGTTGCTAGTAGGTCAAGGGCAGTGATTCTTCCCCTTTATTTGGCACTGGGGAGGCCGGATCTGGAGTCCTGTGTCCAGTTTTGGACCCCCCACTACAGAAAGGATGTGGACATGTTGGAGAGAGACCAGCGGAGGGCAATGCAAATTGCTGTGGGGCTGGGGCACATGACTGGTGAGGAGCGGCGGAGGGAACTGGGCTGATTGAGTCTGCAGAAGGGAAGACCGAGGGGGATTGAATAGCAGCCTTCACCTCCCTGCAGGGGGGTGCAAAGAGGATGGAGCTGGACTGTTCTCAGGGGGGGCAGATGGCAAGACAAGGAACAATGGGCTCAAGCTGCAGCAAGGGAAGTTGAGGTTGGATATGAGGAAAAACTCTCTCACCAGGAGGGTGGTGAAGCACTGGAACAGGGTCCCCAGAGAGGCGGTGCAGTCTCCATCCTTGGAGGTTTTGAAGACCCAGGTAGACAAAGCCTTGACTGGGATGATGGAGTTGGGGCTGGTCCTGCTCGGAGCAGGGGTTGGACTAGATGTGACCTCCTGAGCTCCCTTCCACCCTCACTGTGTATGATTCTGTGAATCACAAGGGGCTGGGCTGTGGTGTGATGGTTTTCCTCTCCTGCTCGGCTCAAGATCCTTGCAAAAGTCTAGTCTCGGTTAATTTTATTTTAAAGGTGCTTTGGTGAGAAAAGAACCAGCAGTGGCTCATTCATCTGTGTGTTACTGCTGTACCTTCTATTATTCAGCCAGATAGAAATGAGTATTTAAACATTAAGGGGTTTTTGGATAGGGCTGGTATCGGAGACATGCTGTGACTAATGCCAAAATTCTCCTCTCCCCGCCACCCTTTTAGCCGACGATGGGATTTTGATCAAACATGAGAAGCCTCCTCAAGAGAAAGGTCCTATGCACCAGGAACCAACCCTGCCCTTACCAGGGAGACTGGAGGCACACGTGTTCCCAGAAGCCGGCCATGAGAATCAACCCAGCTCAAACCCGCAGCCCCTTTCAAGCCAGACCCCGGCCGCCGGTCGCCTGGGGGAGTGCACGCAAGGCGAAGCCGAGTTCGGGCAGTTCCCGACCGCTGCCGCCCAGCCGGGGAGCCACGCAGATGAGACGCCGTATCTGTGCAGCGAGTGCGGAAGATCCTTCTCCCGCGAGGACGCCTTCCTGTCCCACCAGAGCGCCCACGCGGGCACTGCGCCTGCCCCCTGCCCGGAGGGTGAGAAGCCGTTCGCTCCATCGGCCGACATGGGCAGTCATGCCCGCATCATCAGCGGAGAGAGGCCATGCACGTGCCCGCAGTGCGGAAAGACCTTCCCCCACCCATCCCAGCTCGCGTCCCACGCCCGGGCCCATGCAAGCGAGTCGCTCTACCCGTGTCCAGAGTGCGGGAAGAGCTTCAGCCTCAAGCTCAGCCTGCTGCTCCACCAGCGAAACCACACCAGGGACCGGCCCTACCAGTGCTCCGAGTGCGGCGTGCACTTCAACGGCCACTCGGGGCTGCTCCGCCACCAGATGATCCACACCGGCGAGAGGCCTTACAAGTGCCCGGACTGCGGGAAAGGCTTTCTGCGCAAGGAGCACCTCCTCAACCACCAGCGCCTGCACACGGGGGAGCGCCCCTTCCAGTGCGCCGCCTGCGGCAAGAGCTTCATCCGCAAGCACCACCTCCTCAAGCACCAGCGCATCCACACAGGGGAAAGGCCGTATCAGTGCGCCGAGTGCGAGAAGAGCTTCCGCTACAAGCAGTCGCTCAAGGACCACCTGAGGACTCATAGTGCGGAGCAGGGCCAGGCTGACACCTCCCACAGCCTGCTGCAGGACATCGAGGCCGGGCTTCTGGACGTTAAACTGGAGAACGCCTGGTAGCTTGAGTGAAGAGAGGGGCGTGGGGGGCCATCAGTAGGCGCGTTGGCTCCAGCACAGCCGAACGGTTATCACGCCAGTACAGCATGGTAGTAAGTAGAAGGTCAGACTTCCCTGCCACGCAAAAACAACCCTTGAGCTTTTGACTAGGGGGGACAGGACTCGCCCGGTGCAGAAAGGAGTAGAGCAGAGACGTGGTCTGCTCTCGGGGCCTCTCCCCACCCAGCGAGCTCGCCTCGATGAAGAAGATGGCTTTTTATTTTGTGTGCATCTTGCTCCTCCTGGAAGACCTTCCCAGTCATCGCTTATCTCACTGCTTCTGTTAGTCTGCAGTACACACCATCCACTCCACTTGTTAAAAAAAAACAACTTCCTGCATTTTTTTTAGTGTTTTGTTTGAGCAGTCAGAACTTTCCCCGAATCCCTGGACTTTTACTGAAAGCAAAAAAACCCCCAAAAAAGTCAGATGTGACCCAAGAGCCACAACTGGGCAAACCTGAGCACTGCACGCCCAGCTCTGAGAACTGAGTGGCTTTTGAAAAACAGACAACTAGAGCTGAGCTGATACTACTAACTCTGCTTTCTGTAAGCTTATCAAGTGCTGTAGGCATGCCTAACACTGCCAGGATGGATGGCAGCGTGAAGTGCCAGGCCACTTTATTTATAAACCAAACATTTATTAGAAAGTGGTTTTCAGTCAACAGAGGCATCGTTCTGTTTCGTCTCCCAGAAAAGAGGAGTTGGTTCCAGTTCATCAGTCTCATAAGCTCTAACGACTGGATACAGAAATGGGATTTTGGGATAGGGGAGGGGAAAACACCAGAATGATGTAAAAATAATGGCAATAGAGTTTGTTTTTAACATTTTCTCCAGCTAGCAATGCTGCTGCCGTGTGTCCCTATCGCTAACCCCCCTCCAAGGATGTGGAGACCTCCTGCTTGCCTGTGGGGCTGCATGTACATAGATTCCCTTCAGGATCCCGTGCTTTCCCTTCACTGGTAAAAAGCATAAAACTGGTGCATTCTGTTTACCTCTGCTGAAGTCATGGAGTAAGGGTGAAAAAAGCATGTGCACGTGCTCGCATACAGCACTTGTTTCCACCCCGCGTGGGCACTCGCCCGGCTGACTGTGCTGCACTAAGTCCAGGCTCTAGTTGCAAGTGTGAGCCGACGGCTGTGGCTTTGTCAAGCCCTTTTGAAGCCAGAGGGCTCTGCACAGGCCCTGCTGTCTGTCCCCATGGGAGATGCAGCAGGGCCAGGGCTGGGGTTTCATTTGAGGCCGTGCACTAAGTGCAGATCTGGCTCCCGCTGAAGCCAGTGAGCTTTTGGTTGGCTTTGAATGAGGATGCCGGCATGCTGAAAGCCAGGAAGCTCAGCACACGCCCAAAACACTTGTATGAAGCGACTCTGACCTGCTCAGCCCAGTGCGGGTTTCCTCGGGGGTGCACGTCGGGTGGCATTTCTTTTGGTTTGGTTTCTTGCTCTGCTGTGGTTGTCTGGCTTTCGACTCGGCACGCAAGGAGCCAAAGTCCCGAAAGAAAGTCTCCGATGGGCTTTCCACAGGGTTGGGACCTCCTGCAGCTGACCAGTAGCTTGTGAGCAGACAAGCTGAAAACTGGGGGTACTTGCTAATACTTATCACAGCTGGCTGCCAGGAAGCACCAGGGGCTGGGAGGAGTGTGCTCTGTGCTTCTTGGGGCTTAAAGAAGCCATTGTCATGTAATTCAGGGCAAAAAAAAAAAAATCTCTTTTTTTTTTTAAAAAGATGACACTGTATGCTGGGGGAGCTGGCCTTATTTCAGGAGAAAATTGGCCTGAGTCCTGAGAGCTTTTGAGTACTTGAAATGCTCTCAGGATACAGCCAGTTGTTGGCAGCTGGGCTAGAAAAATATCACTCCTAGTGATCGCTGTCAGTCATTGAGGCCACAGTTCTCCTTCAGTCTCAATCAAGTGACTGTACGTACATTCCTGTTTACCACCCTTCTCCTTCGGGCTGCTGTAGAAAGTAGGCGAGACAGCAGAGAAGACCTTTCAGGGTATAATCATTGTATGATTTATTTTTTTTTGCATAAAGGGGATGCTATATTAATAATGCAAATCACTGTCAACAGATCAAGGCGACCTTGTGTGAATTCTCTTTGCTTCTGCATAAGCTGCCGACAGTGGAGTGTACTTGGCATAAAAGCTTGTGTGTTATCTTGACTTTTATGGACCAATAAATGGTGCTATTGCATTTACTCTTTTGATTCTGTCGAACTGCCTCTAGCCGAGGGTCCATTAGTTTGAGGTAATCCAGTGGGTCATCTGAGCCTGCACAGTTGCTCTAGGGTACATAAATTCTCCCCCCAGACCATCCCCTTCCCCCCCCAGCCTTTGCTTTTTGCTTTTTTCCTCCTTTCCTCCCATCTAAATGAGCTGCAGCTAGTCCAAGAAGATCTCTCAAAGACAGGTAGCAAAATGAAAGAGAAAGGGCATGGTGAAGTCTCCATCCTTGGAGGCTTTGAAGACCTGGGCAGACAAACCCATGTCTGGGATGATGTAGCTGGGGCTGGTGCTGCTTGGAGCAGGGGTTGCACTAGATGCGACCTCCTGACATGGATCATCAGCTCTTTGGCAGAGACCTGGTCTTTCAATCAGTGTTTGTAAAGCACCTAGCACAGAAGGCCCCGAGTCCGGCCGCTGCACTGCCGATTCATAATAATTCAGCCTTGCATACAGCCTGTAGCTTTAAACGGTTCTAATATGGCTTCGACCCAGCTTAAAACAGTTCTAGCAGAACAAAGCTCAATCTGTGTGCGCTGACCGATGTGGAAAGAGCTTTTTAACCTATATTTGGAAAGAATTTTCCAGCTGGACATTTTGCAGAGTTTTAGCAGAAGCCGGGGTTCAACAAGGAGAGCATAAGGCAGTGCTTCTCAACCTTTTTTTAGGATCAAGGCACCTCCTGTTAGACTTGAGGCCCCCTCATAAAATGCCAGCTTCTAGTTTTCACTTGGTTTTTGACTATGGAAAAATACTAGAGCAATTCTTGTGTTGCCAAGCTCTCGGCCCACAACAGGGCAGGGTGTTTTCAAAACAATGGAGTCCTATTTGAAATCTCGGAGTTTCTCTTGTGAATCGTTTGCACACCTAACAGTGCTGATGTTGTGCAGACCCTTGAAAGGATCTCAAGGTACCAAGGGGCCATGGCAGCCTGGCTGAGAAGCAGTGGGATAAGGTATAATTCAACCCTGATGAAAACAGAGCCGCCTTAGGCAGAGACCTGTGCACTCCGCGTCTGGGCTTGCTTGAAGGGCAAAAATAAGTTGTTTCTGCTATTCAGGCCTGCGGAGACAGCCCCGCTTGGAGGAGGAGCTGGAGTCTGTTTCTTTGTACCCATCACGGAAAGGACAGCTTCATCCTGACCTGTTCTGTCTGTGAAACCTCGCCGGAGGCAACAGGGTCGCGCAGGCCTTTCTGATGGTGCCCGGCCTAGGGTCATCTGCAGGGCTGCTTGCCGGGAGGTGGAAACGCTCTCTAGCCCGTAGCAGGAGCCTGTTGGAATATAGAAACCCCAAGCAAAGAGATGGGAACTGGGGGCCACCACCCTTCCAGGCGGAGGCAGCTTTTGGAGGAGAAACCCAGTGTATGCAGCGTCTGGGGTACATCAGCAGGGCTGGCTTACCCTGCAGCACGGGGTCACACCAGGCATTAAGCCCTTCTGTATAGCCCGGCCTTTCCAAAGCTCACGGATGTGGTCTCTTATCTGATGCCTACAAACAGCGAGCAGAGCCGAGGTGGCTGAAAGGAGCTGTGTGCTTCGGAGCCTGCGGCTGGGTTGTTCCTCCTTGGCCTTGCAGGGGAGAAACCAGCTTCAGCATGCACACGTGGAGCGAGAGATGCTGCAGGGCCTGGCCAGCTCTGAGCAGGCTGGGGCCATCCTTCCTGCCTCCTATCCCAGCAGCTCGCTGGCCCCGGTCCACCAGCGCCATGGCCGAGGGGACAGCCGCACAGGTAAGCACTGCAGCCTGGCTCAGGTGGAAGCACCAAAAGGCACCGCGGAGTCTCCTGCCTGTCACCTGTCTTCATGCCATCTCTTGACCCCGTTCGCTCCCTTCCCCTGAGATGTGCCCCATTTGGGGACAACTCACCTCTGGGTAACTTCTGGGTGCCAACGCAGCTGAGACACCCAGGAAAGCCCCCCCCGACTCTCTATGCTTGTTAGCCAGGAGATGTGTCTTCCTCCAGCAAGACCTCAAGGGGCAGGGACGGGGGGCAGAAGGAGACACTGCCCTTTCCATTTTGCAGGTGGTGAGGGGAGGTAGAGGAAGATGAAGGGACTGGCCATGGCAGGGGGCAGAGGGCTTGGGGTGTCCATGCGCATCTTCAGAGGGCTGCTGGGTGGTGGCAGAAGAGACGCCCTGCCCTCGGGCCCAGGGTCCCAGCTGGCACCTGGTCATCGTTCTGCTGAAGCCTGTGGAGTTATGACCATGGCTTTCGCTGCAGGCAGCCGCACAGCCCGCACTGGGCGCCGCTCTGCAAAGCAAGCCCCGGCTCTGCAGGGAGCCTGACCAAGCCCACAACAAGGCACCATGTTTGTGACCCCTTGGGCTCCGGTTTGAAATCTCTGGCTTTGTCTCACGAACCGTATGTAGGTGTTTGTGCACCTCACCGTGGTGCAGCACCCTTAAAAGGATCCCACAGCTCCTTGGTTAAGAATCACTGCTTTGTGCAACTGAATGCTAAAGGCCCCTGCTGTTCTCTGCGTCCGGACCAGGCATTCAATCCCCGACAGAGCGAGGGGAGGAGGACTTGGAGGAGAGAGAGGACCCCTTACAGAGGCCAATGTGGGGGGCAAGTTGCCAGCAGATGGAGGGCAGTGATTCTTCCCCTCTATTCAGCACTGGGGAGGCCACATCTGGAGTCCGGTGTCCAGCTGTGCACCCCCCACTACAGAAAGGATGTGGACAAGTTGGAGAGAGTCCAGTGGAGGGCAATGAAAATGGTTTGGAGGGCTGGGGGACAGGACTGGTGAGGAGAGACTGATGGAAATGGGCTGATTTAGTCTGCAGAAGAGCGGACTGAGGGGGATTTGATAGCCTTCAGCTCCCTGCAGGGGGGTGCAAAGAGGCTGGAGCTGGGCTGTTCTCAGTGGGGGCAGATGGCAGGACAAGGAGCAATGGGCTCAAGCTGCAGCAAGGGGAGGTGAGGTTGGATATTAGGAAAAACCTGTTTCACACACACAGGGTGGTGAAGCACTGGCACAGGCTCCCCAGAGAGGTGGTGGACTCTTCATCCTTGGAGGTGTTTAAGACCCGGGTAGACAAAGCCCTGGCTGGGATGATGTAGCTGGGGCTGGTCCTGCTTGGAGCAGGGGGTTGGTCTAGATGTGACCTCCTGAGCTCCCTTCAACCCTCGTTTTCTATGACTCTGTGATTAAAGAATGATGAAAGTTAAAGCTCGAGCAGGGTGAGCTGGGAACACTTCAGAGCCCCGATGGCCTCTTATATCTTCCTGTCTGAGCCACAGTTTCTTTGTCCCTGTGACAGCTTAGACCTGACTTCTCCAGCAGCCCCCCTTTCTCACTCCTTTGCTCAGTGAGTCCCCCCATTACTACTGTCTGCCCATGGTCAGTGGAAATTTTTCCCCAGGAGGGCATAGGATAGAGACGGCTGCTCACAGCTTTTGCGAGGCGTGGGGAGGAACACCCTGTCGTGGTCTTTCCCGTGAGCAGCGTCTGGTTTCTCAGCAAGGCTCCCAGGAGGGACCGATCCCTGCAGATCCTCACACAGGTGAGCGTGGCTGCGAGAAAGCGGGGAATCCTAGCAGCTCTGCGAGGTCCCTCTGCTTTCCCGACTGCTCGTGCAGCAGGACAACCCGGCACTCTTCTCTTTCCCACTAACAGGCCTTCTGGTTTCCACTCCAGAGATTTCACCTTGCATTGAACAAGAGGAGAGCCGTGTGTTGGGGCCAGCAGGACCCAGAAGAAAGGGAGCTCCCTGCAAGCCTGGATGGGGTGAGCTGGGGGTAGGTCCCGGGATTTTGCAGACTGGTGGTGCACCGATTGCATTTGCAAGCCCTGCCTGAATTTCTTCTAGGGTCACCAAGCGAGGAAGGAAGGAATGCATGCACTTCTCTTTTCCACTTCTCTTTCCCACCTTGTGCAGAGGTCCCTCCGGCATCTCTGCGTGTGGTGGCCTGGATTCAACAGGGAGAGGAGAAATCTCTGCACGTGCTAGAGTGGGTGAGTGGGGGGCTCAAACCATATTGCACCCAAGTCTCTCTCCCTTCCAGAAAGATTTGGGGGGCAGCTTTTCATTCTCTCAGCAAGGTCCAAGCAAAGAAACAGCCTCCCTGTCTGGAAGGAAAGCTAGCGCTGAGCTCATCGAGTCAGTTCTGCTTCAGAGCCAGCCGTCCACAGTCACTTCCACATCTGATTCGGAAGATGTGACCTCAGCTCAGCATAGGCGAGGTTGGGGGAGAGATCAGCCGGAGGTGCCTGGCCATGGGCTTAGGCAAAGGGAAGCGCAGCTGTAACAGAAATCCTGTGCAGCGACACTGATCCAAAAGGCCATCTGTTTAGCAATAAAAAAAATACGCTTGGCTGAACAGCTGTTGGAAGTTGGCTGCATTTTAGCTGGTCGTGCAGTTAAAACGCCTGTGTGAAATGCAAAGACTAGTAACAGTTGTACAGCTACTCGGAGGGAACACTCTCATGTCTGGTAGCAAAAGACAAGCTGTCTGTTAGACAGCGGCGTTACAATACTTGTTAACGACTGAACCCACGCGGTAATTACAGTGGCAAGCACTTGATCAGCGTAGTTCTAGCTGGGCTAGCGGGGGAGACCTGAGCTGTCCCGGGCTGGCCGGTTCCAGCAGATAAGCTCACACTGGCAAAAACCTCTCTCTCTCTCCGTCTCTCCTGTCTTTCTCTCTCACTAACATCATCTTCTGAGCCCTAGAAATGGATCAGATCTGCCCCAAAACGGCCATATTTACCTATCTTCTGGTTCCCAGCACACACAGCTTTCATCTTACTTTCCTGGTGGGCTTCCCCCTAGCCCTCCTGGAGCCAAAACTGGGCACAGCCATCTCCTAGCTATTGTTCATCCACCTTTGTCCCTGCATTAGCACATCTGTGGTTCGGCGTGCTTCGTCCCTCGGACGTTAGCGTCTTGACGGCCTGTTTATCGCTGCCTTTCTCTCAAACCTGGAAGATCATCTTGCTTATATCTGATATAATAAAGCATCATAATTCCTACATCAGTAGGGTGCGTATTAGGACATGTCATGGGAAATGATGGGACATCAGAGCCTTGGAGCGCTCTGTGAAGGTAAGCGCTATTCCCGGGAGATGCACAGGCAGTGCGGTGCGGATGTTAGCCGGGTTAGCCTGCGGTCGAGCAGACGGCAGTACAGGGGAGCACTTCAGAGGCTAGTGAAATGCATGACTGCCGCAGCCTCTCTGCCGTGACCGGATGGGACATTTGGCATTGTCTTCTCCAGAAATCAGTCTGGCGCTGTTATCCTTGGAGCCCCTGGCTGCCCTTCCACAAACCCAGGAGTTCCTGAAAGCACGGGGCAGGGCGGTGAGGAAGATGGTGGGCAGGCTTCGCAGCTGTGATGAAGAGACTGTGACGTGGTGCATTTGGGGTGACATTTGATTCTCCTGGTTTTGGCCCTGTGCTCTCACCTCAGTTGGTTTCATTTGAATGCAGTGCGTGTGTGTGCATGCACATGCACGTGCGTGCACATGTGGTGTGGTCAGATGGACGTGTACGTGACCTTATGCAACATTTGATTTCTCTTGCCTCTGCGACGGTCTCACTTGCCCTCTGTCTGCTTAACACGTCTCGCCTAAGACCTGCTGTTATCCAGACCTGTCAGCCGCTTTGGAGCAACGTCACATCTGCCACAGGGCTGGGCTGGGAGGTAACCTCCCCTGAGCCGGTGCGGGTTTGCTGCATTGCCACTCCTCAAGGCCAGAAATGGGAAAGGAATCCCGTTAGGGAGTGGGAGCAGCTGCTTTTTAACGAGACACTCGGCATTTGCTTCTGGTCCAGAAGGGCCAGAGAAGAGTGATGGAGACAGCTGTGCGTGGAGGGTCTGTTGACTCCACATCTGCCCTGGGGAGCGAGGGGAGAGCCGCCTGGACGCAGTGCGTGCAGCTGAGTCCTAGCACGGATGCTCGCGTAGGTCTCCTCTGGCATAAACAACCTGTTTGCCGGGAACCGTCCTGTGTCAGAGACCACCCAGGCCCACGCTGAATGATGGAGCCTCCCCGGCTGCACTGGGGATTGGACTGCTGCCGTGCTGACCCTCGGCTCCTGCACGGCTCCATCTCGTCCCTGGCAGGAGGCCCGGTCCTGGCTGGTCTCCCATCCCGCAGCACGCGCTGGGCAAGCAGGAGGGAGCTGCCTCTCTCAGACCGACAGGGTTAGAGCAGAGTCCGCAGCGCGCGCAGCAGAACATGGGCACAGAGGAAGCCCCGGACAGATCTCGTGCTCTCTCTGTGGCCTAACACAGAGCTTGGCAACCTACGGCCCGTGGGCCGGATCCAGCCTGTGAACAGACACCAGCCACAGCAGCAGAGGAGGTGCCTGCTGCGTTTAGTTTCTTCTCTCTCTGCTGCAGCGGGGGAGACGTCCCAACACCTGCCTTTTCCATCTAGCCCCTTTGCAGCATCTGCTCCTCCTCGTGGCAGGAGCTGGGTCACCAGCAATGGCCCCTGGGCAGCCAACCCCTGGCCTAGTGAAAGGTGCCGTTGAGCTGCCCTTGCCTGTTTTATTCCCTGTGAAGCAGGGGAGAACATCACTTTCCTCCCTCTGCTTCCACCGCACTGCCAGCGGGTGTGTAAGGGGCCAGGCGGAGGCAGCCTGTCTTGCCTCTCTTGCCCAGTGAGGAGAAGGCAGCCCGGTGCTCCCTGCATGATGCCCTGCACCAGATGTGCTGACTCCCATGCATCTCCTCTCCCTCGTGCCAGCAGAGATGGAGCTCATGGTCTCAGCCAAAGAGCCCAAAAGCCTGAAGCCTCCACCGCTGCTGGCTGGGGAGCCCTCAGCCTCTGCTTATCCCCAAGCAGGAGGCAGCCTGTGAGGGTCCTTGCCTCTCCAGCCCTGCAGGAGACCACCCCGGGGGATCCACGCCGCAGCCAGGAGGTGCAGGGAATGATGCTGCCCCTGCCAGGCTGGCCCTGCACACCTGTGGGCACACGTTCACATGGAAAAACATCTTGCAGTCACACACATGGCAGCTGTATGCATGTGCCCCATGCGGGCACAGCTTCTGGGTCCACACCAAGGAGCACCCCCTGGTCTTTACGCAGATATGTACAGATGTGCAGAGAGGGTAGACAGCTGTCTGCATCTCCTTGCATCCAGATATGACCTGACTGCTGCCCTAGCATGTCTCTAAGGACTGTATGGAAAGGAAGCGGGCTTCAAGGACGCTCGCATCTGTTCCTTCCGAAGTCAGGACACCCCAGGCTCTTGGGCTGGAGCTGGCTGGATCCACCTAACAAATGCCAACTGGGACTGAGAGCAGGGAGTGGCAGGGCCAACATTCGGATGGATTTGCTACACGGCCTTTTCTTGTGTCTCTGTCTGCAAAATGGACGTGACCCAGGACTACCTCGTTAGGATGCTGGGAGCAAGGGCCAGTGCCGGGGCTGGGTGATGAGTCTTTATATGTAAGCAAAGTGCCCTCCAGCGGGTGCTGCTACTCACTACTGCTTCTTGCCTCAGGTACGCGGGACCCCTCAGGCTGGTCTGGGACTAGCAAAAGGAGAAGGCCTAGAGGGGCTTGTGCTTGAAAGGCAGGCACAAATGGGACTGAGGCCAAGGGACCGATGCCAGACCAAGGGACCAGTATTAGATGTGGGGGACTGCCTGAAAGAGCCCACCCTGGGCCAATACAGAGTCCCGTGGGGTCAAGGACCCAGCGGGCAGCTAGGGGCTAAAGCCCAAGTGAGAGGAGCGAAGCCTGAAGGCAGTAGCCTTCCAAATCTATTGACATCAAGGCACGGCAGGCGACAGAGGAAGCCTGAAAGAGGGCACTGGAGTAGGAGAACGGGCATAAGATGGCCATCCTGTGAGGGGCAGCCTGTTACAGTGCCTGCAAATCCTGAAATAAGTGACTTGCCAAAGTTCACCCGGCAAGTCAGTGGCAGAGCTGGGACTAGACCCTGCATTACACCATGTCCTCTCTCCTACTTGAGCCATTTTTTCTCTTGGGCCTTTATAAAGCCTGGGGAGAAAGGAAGGCCCAGAGCACTGAGGAAACAGATCCAGGGAGCTGTAGGAAAAGAGAGGACCTGGATCCTGCCCTCTGCCAAGGTCTGCTCAGATCAAACCCAGACGTGTGTATGGGCTGACCCCGACGTCCTCATCCATCATAAGCACCAACCAGGGCAGTTTCATGTAACCTCTTTATTGTCCATGTACAGCTAAGCCAAGACGTGTGAGAGATCCAAGATCAGCTAGAGGGGATGCAGCTGGGATCGTTGCTGTTCAGTCCTCCCCCGCTCGCGCTGTCCACGGTGTCCAGCATCCGACTTTCATCCTTTCCAGCTGCACCTACCTGCTCTGAAGAGCGAGGAGCCTGCAGGATGTGGGGGCAAAGCTCATGCAGCAGCCTCCGTCCACCCCTGCGACTGCCCAGCTGGGCATGCTGTGGTACACAGCTGTGTAGCAGACCTCTACTCCCATGCATGCGGCGTCTCCTGCAAGAGGGCTGTTTGCCGTAACGCATTACACCTCTGAGACCCACAACCAACAGACAGGGTAAAACTAACCACCCACAGACATGCAGCCGTCTCTGGGGTGGAACGTGGCCACTGCTCAGTCACCACACAGCAACGCTAGGCACCAAAGCAAAGGCCTGCTCATCCAACTGATGCTGCAGATAGAAGGGGGCCAGGACGGCACCCTTGAAACGTGCCAGTAAATGGTGAATGTGGCCATCTTGTCCAGATCCAGGAGCACCAGGCTGGATGACTGGTTCAGCTCCAACTCACACAGGTCCATCGTCTCACACCCCTGGTCCCCCATCCAAGCTGTGAGGGTGAATGACTGCTTAGTTTAGGAGACCTCCTGGTCTTCCAGCACCCAGTGACAGAGAGCTCTTAACTGTGTGTCATGTCTATTCATCCTGGCGTGTCTCCCCTGCCCTTCCTGGCACGCTGGAGGGTGATGATGAGCCTGTTGCTGCTTTGGCTCAAGGGAGGCTCAGGTGAGATCCCTACTCCAAAAGGTCCCAGGTTTGATCTCAGCTGCTGCCAAAACACCTCTGCACCAGAAATGACCCATTATAGGTTTAAAGAAAATGAAGGTGGGAAGGGACCTCAGGAGGTCGCATCCAGTCCAATCAATCCCCTGCTCAGAGCAGGACCAGCCTCAACTACATCATCCCAGCCAAGGCTTTGTCCAGCCAGGTCTTCGCCACCTCCAAGGATGGAGACGCCACCACCTCTCTGGGTAACCTGCCCCAGTGCTTCACCACCCTCCTCGTGAGAACCATCTCACGTACACGACTCTCTCTCTCGGACCCTCTGCCCGGCACCTCTTGAGCACATATTTACATTTTATAGAAGCAGGATGTTGGCTGGCATGCCCCCTACTTTATCTGTGGCAGGTTCAGGTGTTAGGGCTGTGTGGTAGCAGGACTGAGGGTCGTCTTAGATTAGGGGATGGTTTGGATAGCGATGTCCTGCCTCAGGCAGGGGGTGGACTAGATGTAACCTCTGGAGGTCCCGTCGAACCCGACTTCTCTAGCCAGTCGTAGCCAGGTCTAGCTTTGGCAAATGATTTGAGCAAAGCATCCCACATGAACCATCTCAGTGCGAGCCTGAGCCCAGGGCCACCTGGAAACAAGAAGGATGCTCCCTCCCCTTTGGCGATCAAGGCAACTGCCCTTCCTCCAGGCATGCCACTGGGCACTGCCCGGTGAGAGGATGCTCATTCGGGTGCACCATTCCCAGGACCCCGTCACACGCTGGGCACGGGCGCCTGCTGGATGGCAGACTCCACAGAAAAGGCCTGGGGAGCAGGGACACGGCGGGCATGGAGTTGCTGATGCTTAGTGAGGGTGGAGCGGCGCCCGAAGCGCTTGCCACAGCGTGGGCAAGGGTACGGCTTCTCGCCGGTGTGGATGCGGAGGTGCTCGGTGAGGTGGGACTGCTTGCGGAAGCTGCGGGCGCAGCAGGGGCAGGGGTAGGGCCTCTCGCCCGTGTGGAAGCCGTAGTGCTTGATGAAGTCACCCTTGAAAACGAAGAGCTTGTCACACAGGGCGCAGGGGTACGGCCCGTCCTCCAGGTGCACGCGCCGGTGCACGGCCAGGTAGGAGCGCCGCCGGAACTGCTTCCCGCACAGCCCGCATGCATACGGCTTCTCCTCCCCGGCGCTTACCCGCTGCCGCCACCACGGCACCCGCGGGCTCCGCAAGCCCTGGGGGCACCGGGGAAGCCTCCTCGCCGCCTCTGCACGCTCGTGCTTGCTCAGGGCTGACCGGAGCCGGAAGCGCTTCTCGCACAGGCTGCAGTGATACGGCTTGTCCCCGCCGGGCACTCCCAGCTCCTCCTTGGTCCCACGGGCCAGAGAACCGCGGCCGTTTCCTTGCATTAGAGGGCACGGCAACTTCCCGCCTCCTGGACTGGCCTCGCACTGGACGCCAGGTATCTGGGTAACAACACTACGGTCACCTGTGCTGGGTGGCGCTGGCCGCCCCTCCCTGCGTGCCCGCTCGTGCCGCAGGGCATATGCCCGCATGCTGAAGCTCCTGTGGCATCGGGCGCGTGGGTAGGGCTCGGCCACGTGGCAAACCCCCTGAGGCTCCTCGCCCGGGGGCTCTGGTGCCGGCTCGGGTACCACCTTGGCGTGGGTATCCTGGTGCTTGTTGAGGGTGGAGCGGCGGCTGAAGCTGCGGGCGCACAGGCTGCAAGGGAAGGGCTTCTCGCCCGTGTGCGTGCGCAGGTGGTCGCTGAGATGCGAGCGGCGCCGGAACCAGCTCCCGCACAGGCCGCAGGGGAAGGGCTTGTCCGCGGCATGAGGCTGGCCCAGCTCCCCGCCGAAGTGCTCGGGGCACAACGGGTGGGCAAGGGGCTTCTCCTCCAAGTGGGCGCGCTCGTGCCGGGCTGCGTACGCCCGCGTGCTGAAGCTCTTGTGGCACCGCCGGCACGGATAGGCCTTGTCTGCCGAGCGGGTCTGGGGGCAGCGTGGCCGGGGGTCGCCTGGGCCCGTGGGCTGGCCCCCCGTGGCCTCACGGGGCTGCTCCTTGGCGTGGGTCTCTTGGTGCTTGTTGAGAGTGGAGCGGCGGCCGAAGCGCTTGGCGCACAGGCTGCAGCCGTAGGGCTTCTCGCCCGTGTGGGTGCGCAGGTGCTCGGTGAGGTGCGAGCGCCGCCGGAAGGCATTGCCGCAGCGGCCGCAGTGGAACGGACGCTCCCCGCCGGGCTCCCACCAGGCCTGAGCCGGCTCGGGGCAGCGCTGGTCTGTGGAGCGTGCTCTCCACCCGGCCCCCCGGGACTCGCTGTCCTCGCCGGGCAGAGCCTCCTCCACCACGTGGACTTCAAGGTCCCCGATCGTCTCGGTCTTGTAGATGAAAACGCTCGGGTCCTCGTCAGCCCGGCACGGCCCCGCTCCTGCATGGCTCCTCGGGCTGTCAGCAGTGCCCAGCCACGGGCAGGAGCCTTCAGAGCCCAGCGGAGACTCAGGCTCTTCCTTGGAGTCCCTGGGACTCACGCCATAGCCACCGTCCTCAATTTCCTCCTTCACAGGGCAGCAGGGATTCTGGGGGAAGCTGCTGTTCACCTGTACCTGCCGCCAGAAGCTGCCATCATGTGGAGGAGAAGAGTCGACAGGCACCTCCATTTCTCCACGGGGCTTGGTCTGGCACTTGCCGGAAAAAGCAGGCTCATCACCATGAGCTTCTTCAAGGGCAGGACGAGAGGCTGAGTGCACCTGAGCCTCTACACACACAGCACGGCGCTCCAAGCCCTGCAAATTAGGCCGATCCTTTGCTGAGACACACCGATTCTCATGGACTCGGATTTCAACTTCATGGTCCTCTAGCTTCACCTTTCTGCTCCTGTGAAGGCGTTCAGCCACTGCAAAAAAGAACGAGCTGTGTCAATACCGAGAAAGAAGAGGAGACACGTCCCCTGCATTTCTTCAGCACGTTTAGTCCCAGGTATCCCAGCATGTACTGCCAAGAAATGCAAGAAACGCTGGGGGCCGACGTGCTTTTGCAATCGGTGAGAAGTTGCTCCGTTATTCCAAAAGGATGCAAGCTACTGTCAAGGTTGTGTTAGGGTTGATGGCAATTTTACAAAGAGTTTCAGTTATGGATTTGTTTGGGATGGGTTGGACAGGACTGACCCTGCCTCAAGTAGGGGCTTGGCCTAGATGTGACCGCTCGGGGTCCCTTCCAGCCCCACTTCTCTAGGGTTTTGTGAGGTTACTACCAGACCGTACAGAAAACCATCCAAAGGCTCATCGCAGCTGTTGAATGGGCAGGACCACTCTACCTTGCCCAGGGCTCAGCTGGTTTCTCTATCCTGCCAAAATTGGGACTCCCAAATTTCTCCTGTTTCACACTGAAAGGGCTCGGAGTCACCCCAGAGCTTTTGCAAAAAAGTGAACCAGGCCCCAGCCCAGAAAAGCCAACAGGGTGGTCAAGGCATCGCCAGGGACACACAAAACCAGGTGAAAGTCCCGGCGCTTCTGATTCAGACCAGCGTCCCCCACTCCAGGACAGTGCTCTGACCTCCCAGGGACGAGCTATTCTGGACTCGAATCCAGGCCTCTCATCCCCGTCTCCAGGATTTCAGTTCAG